CTTCCCTGCATGAGAACATAAGCAATGAGGCCAATGGTTTTTATACATCCGTGCACTTGTCTCTCTGCAGCTGGCTGAGTGCTAAATAGCAGGGTGGGTTCTTGTGTGCCAGCTTTTCACAAAAAATCACCTGGGGACGTGTAGCCAGGGTGTGCTAAGGAGTAATGACTGAGACCTGAGAAAGGTAACAGAAGACACAGTAGATCTTTTTGAAGCCATTTTAGGCTCTTTCCTAAACCAAGAACACAGTCTAAGCACCAACACACTCCATGTGGAGTGTTGTCTTTTGAGTCTTATGAACTAGAAGAGTTATTGTGTATAGCACTTTTTCTCACAGGTCAGACAAAGGGTGTACAAAGGGTGTACAAAGGGTGACTTGATGAATGTTTGCTGGAGTTGGCATTATAGGGAAATTTCAAAATGCAGTCCTTGATATGGCAGTGTGAACTAAAAGATGATTCTGCTTATTTAGGTTTTTTTCTAATTACACAAAAATAGGGGAAGCAGTAGTTATTGTGTGTATTCTCTGATTCTAAAGGGATCAGAAAATATCTGATACCTCATAAAAGAAAATAGTCTGCTGAAATAGATGCACTTTTAGTGATGAGGGGTCAGTTATTTACAATACATGGTAGCAACCAAAGATGGAAGTGATGAATTACACTTTTAAGCATTAAACACTTTAAGCAGCAAGGAAAAGGAATTCACAGATAGACTGCAAATTCTGTAGATTTTCTGGTAAAAAAGTAAGTATTCTTCCCCTTCCATTCAGTGGTTTTGGACTTTTTAATTGCCATGGAGACTATTCATTTCCTTCTGACTTGCACTGTAGATGTCTACATCCATTTGAAAAAAGGAACAAACAAAAGGAAGCAGATCAGTGACTTGGTTGATCCTGTGGAGGACACCTCAGCATTTGGAAATTTCTGTGTGTCAGCCTTTGGCAAGAACACGTGTAGTACATGAAACAAGCCTAATTATATCACTCTTATTCTGCAAGATCAAGTTACTTTTGCATTTTAAGTGCTGAGGTGTCCCACAGTCTCTCGCCTCCAGGGTACACAAAGGTATGGTGCCTTTTCTTTTGTTCTGGTCAGGTGCAAATATTTGCACATGGGAAAATGTTTTAGCTCCACAGACCAATAGATCAGCCATCTGCCTGGAAAAGGGAACGCCTTTCTGCTCTGAGACGGATACACAGGGGAGGATCCTGTTCTGTCAGTTCTCAGATTCCTGAGCCTCACCTCACTGACGTTAAGTCCACGTTTGTTTGTCTACTCTTGGTCTGATTACACCAGATAAGTCCAGACAGTAAAGCAGAGACGGATATGTGAGCAGGTGGCAGTAATTTTGCTTCCCAGAATATGTTGTGTTCATACCAAAGGCAAAACTCAGAGAAATCTTTTTGTATAAAACATGGATTTCTACAGGTGATGCCGCATTATGCCCATGTGAATATTAACATCTAAACATAGAGAATACAGGTTATGAATTCCGTAAAAGCACACAGTCTGCACAGATAGGTTTTCTCACCTATTGGCCCTTTTACTGTGAATGAATTTATTCTGTGTAAAAAACTGCTCTCACATTCACATTTTCAGTCTTTTATTCTCTTCTTTCAGCTCTAACCTGGTTGGTTTAGTTCCAGATAACTAAGAACAAAAGGAACAGTTCCCAACTCTTTCCTTAAGAAAGTGGAAAGTAAAGACTATAAATAAAAATCTGCCCACTAATACTGTGAATAAATTTGTGTGGTAAGCAAACAGAAAAGCAGGGAATAAAAGAGAGCAGATTATCATGCCATTTATTTCAGAGGAAAAGAGGGGAAAGAATCGTGTTAAGTCTGTTACTGAACAGGTTACAGGCTTACTCTCTTATCTCAGAGCAATGAGACTATAATCTGAGATATGAGTTTCTGTTCCATCAGCAGAAATATTACCTGGCAAAAGAGACTTCAAAGAGAAGGCAGAAATGTAGTAACAGCTCTAAAATTAGGGATAAGTGTTGAACTGAGTAGTGAATAAAAAATATGTGCATGCAGGGTGTCTTTTACCTGAATATCTAGCTCCACCAAAAGGACTTGATCTGAGTCTTTAAGAATCTCAAAGATTTAGTCCCATTTCTGAAGGCTACGACTGGGAACAGATTTTAGCATGGTACTTATGGGGATTTGAGAAGGGAAAGAAGAGGGTGAAATCCCCTTTACTGACTTTGCAAAGAGATTTCATTTGACACAGCATAACTCATGTGCCTGTGACATCCCTAGAAATTAGCTACTCTGCTTGAATGAGTGGTTTGTAAAAACTGTTGCAAATTTCCACAGCAGCGAATACTGTTCAAGGTTGCAGATGCAATCATTATCAATAACACCTTTGGAAATGAACCTGGATTTTCTTCAGATGTTAAAATAACATTCACTGCAGTGTAAATCTAAAGGCTAGCTTTTGTCTGACAATTAAATCAGTGATCATTGCATTGTTCAGAAAGTTTGGTTATTTATTTTGTCTAATTCACATAGTTTGTTTCCTGTCTGCTGGCTCAATATCAGAGGCCAAAATAAGCAGAACAACCATAGCCTTCCAGAACTAAGGTTTGAATTACTTGTTTCTTCTACAATTTCAATAAGTGGTAATTCTACCATATATTTCCTTTTACAGCACTGAGGTGAGATTATGAAGTTAGGTTTTCCTGAGGTCAAGCAAGATCTAGACTGTTGTCCTGTATCACAAATCTTTTTGGATTCCATCTTTGTGCATTCTTGACAGTCACCTCTTGGCTTATGAATTGATCCACTAAAGGAATAAAGAACTTAAAACTGGATTTGAAGAGGGAAGGGGATAAAACCAGGCTCCCTGGAGTTAAGACTGGCAGTGTCACACAGATGTTTGAGGGACAGTGTGCGAATGAGGTCCTTTGGTCTGTTCTCTCAGTGGAGGTAGGGGATGGAGCCATGTGGCAGCAGAGACACAGGGGTTATTGATATTAAGAAACCACAGAGTCCCTGGGAATGGTCATGTAGGAATTAGGGTTTCTCCCCTCAAAATGGTGTCAGGATCAATAGCCCAGCTGAGTGCATCTACACAGTGCACACAGCATGGGCAACAAACAGAAGGAACTGGGAGCCACTGGGAATCAGGAAAACTGGTGTAGGTTGCCATCATGGAAACATGGTGGGCTGACAGGCACAACGGGAGTGCCATACTGGGTGGTTATAAACTCTTCAAAAGGGACAGGCAAGGGAGGGGAGGCAGTGGGGTGGCCCTGTATGTTCGGGAGTTTGGATGGCCTAGAGCTTGGTGATGGTGATGGCAGGGTTGAGTGTTTATGGGTAAGAGTTTGGGAAGGCCAATAAGGCAGGGGTGTGTCCAGAGAAGGGCAATGGAGCTGGTGAAGGGTCTGGAACACAAAGCTCCATGAGGAGTGGCTGAGGGTACTGGGGTTGTTTAGCCTGGAGAAAAGGGAGATGAATGGCTGCTGTGGGTACCCTGGGTCATCTCTGGCAGCTAGTTTGCATTCCTTTCTCCAGAATATCTCTGGCATGCTCAAAAGAGGGTATGACCACAGACAGGGAAATCTTGCCAAATCTGGAACAGATAAATATATAAATGAGTAGAGCTCAGCACAAATCAAAGTAATGAGATTTGCAGTATAATTTTACTTCTAGCATTTTTCCCATAGGTTAAAAAGATCTTACTGATTGTAAAGACAATACATTCCTAATTACTGAACTATTTTTTTTCCTCTTAGTGTACAGGTCATTTATCTCCACTCTGTTGGAATATATGCCTATATTCAAATTTTACATAATTGTGAAGACATGGATATGTGCAATATAACTCACTCCTGACATATTAATACTAGGTATTGTGAATTAGTAAAGCTTTCCTGCAGGGATCCTTCTCTCATCTCCTATATGTAACATAACATACATGCTCCTGCTGCAGGTGAATTGCTGACAATTTTGCTCTAACAAAAACCCACATTGGTGGGATAGTAAACCATTTCAACTGACTTTAGCTTTTTACTCAAAACAGGTGTCCACCCTTGCATACAGTAATCCTGTGAAAATTTTGCCAAGATTTTGTATGTACAGATTCCCTCAATAAGCTGCCAAATTTATGGGGAAATTCTGCAGAAAAAGAGGGAATGACCTGGGATGAGCTTCCCGTGACTGAAATGACATTTAAATGCCAAGAGCTAGGATAAACCTCCTCATTTTTCTCATGCCAGAATCTACAAACATCACTTAGCCTCAGTTTTGGAGTTCTGGGTCTATCTCCTTCCATCTGTCTTGCTTCACTGTGTCTTTATTGCAGCAAAACATGTAGCTGCCTTTTGATTATTATCACCTCACTGAGACTGTATGCTCCCTCTCTTCCATTTTCAGCTACCACAACAAAAGTTAAAGGATTATACAGAGGAAAGCTAAGCCCAGAACACTATTGTTGTGGGGGTTTTTGTTTGTTTGTTTTGTTTTTGTGGTTTTTGTTTGTTTGTTTTTGTGGGTTTGGTTTCGTTTTTTTTCTTTTCTCCTATGTAAGCTATTCCAAAATTTATAGGATGAGCTTTCCAATCTGATTTGACAGCAAAGTTTCCTTTAATGAAAAATGACTGTATAAAGCAGGGGTACACTAACAATTAATAAATTTCTTGCAATAAAAGTTAAAATGGGGAGGCAAGATGTAGATATTAACTCATGTAATAAATTGCAAATAGACATCAAAAAGATTGTTTATAATTCCTCTTCAGAAGTCGTAGCTCACCTAACAGTCACAATTGGATTGCTAAAATACAGCTTGAATTTGATGCACTTATAACCATAATTTTCAGTCATTTAGATAATTAATTTCAAAGTGTTTATTGTATTTCTTCTCATGTTTTCCAAATGGGTGCTTTAGTCTTTCTATTTTTGTTCTCCTAGTCGTACATATACATTTCGTATGAAATCTGATATACCAAATCTGCTTGGTAAAAGTTCAGCTTGCAAGTAGAGACAGAGAGGTGCAGCTTCACCTCGTAGAGGTTATGATCATTTCACTGTTACTGGTTACAGTTCTGTCTGAATGAGGCGTAGTGCTTTCTTCATGTTCTCTATTACTGAAATAAAAAATAAATAAGAACTGTGAAAATGTATTAGAAGTACATTTGTACAATTAAAAAACCCTCCCTAGTTTGGTTTAGTAAATTATTCACAATGAAACTGGTTAATGGTCACACATTTTATCTTAGAGATTGATACTAAAACAGAAAGTAAAAAATTTCATGAATCAAAATGTTTAACTTAAAGGATTTGACAAGAATCCTTGCAACTCCCTCATTTCTCAACAGCAAGCTGGTAATCAGATGTGATGTGTGTATTTGTGGTGAGACACTGCATTGGTGTCAAATAGATGGCATAGAGTAAGAACTGGCTCAACCTGAAAAATCACATTCCTTTCTGATATATGGCTGTTAGGGGTACGGACAAAACCACCTGCATTTCTTTACTGATTCCCTCCCACCACTGGCTATTTACATTGTACAGTCAGATACTTCTGAGCATAGTGACTTTCACCATTCTCCATAAAACTGCTCAGGTCTTGATCCTGAAGGTTCTCACCCATGATCTTTCAATTTTTCTTACTTGAGTAGTCCCAATAAATTCAATGGGACAATGCGTGTGGTTGTTTCGCTAGAACAGGCTAGGCCATTATAATTTATTGCAAATGCTCTCACAAGGAATTTATTCTTTACTTGGAGATCCTAATGGATTCTTAAGCCCAAGTGATCAGGATGGGGGGTATCTGGCTGCTTACAACGTGAAATACAGTCACACGGCCAAGGGCACTTACGGAACATCATGTCCTGCGGTTCATAAGTGTAAAGCCGGTTGGAGTATCTTCCTGTGATGTCAGCTCTTACCGTGAGAGATGGGTCTGAAAAAGTGTTTGGGTTAAACACTGCCTTCCATTCCCACAACAACTGAGGGTGATGGCTTGGCATTACTTTGGCAGCCCTGTTTCTGATTTCATCAGTGCAGCAATTACGAGGCCGTTACGCTCTGTTCCAAGCAACTGCTCTTTACTTGGAGAAATCCTGAACAAAAGCTAACACTCATTTTTATAGTACACAGCTATTTTTAAGTGCTAGGTTACACATTCATGTTTAAAGAAAAATATCCTGTTTTACAGGTTCTGAGTTTACATCAGAAGGTTAATCTGACCAGATGCACACATAGTGGGGGTCATGCCTATCTATGGCAATAGATATCATGACTTACATAGAGCCTTCAGAACATCTGATTCCTAATGTTCCCAAAGTGGGAATAAGTTGTTGTGAACCTCTCTTCTCTCAGTTACCCTTCCAATTTATTATTAATTTACTGATTGCTGAAACTACACTGCTCTTTGTCTGAGTGTGGGCTGAACTCTGAATGCAATCACAGAGCTAGTCACTCCAGGCTCCCTGTGCAGTGAGTGAGAAGGAACTCCAAGGCATAATTAATTTGGTCCATTCCAGAAGTCAGCTTTAAAAGGGGACAAATCCTTAGATGCCACTGACTATTGCTTTATTCTGTGATAAAGTCCACTTTATAGCCATCTACATTCAGTCAGATATTGGACTTTTTCAGTAAACTTTGTCTTGTAACAGCACTAGCAAGAAGCACAGAGAGCAAAAGACCAGATATTAATAGACTTTTAAATGTTCTGCTCTCAAGACCAAATTAGTACCCTCCAGGACATATCTGTAATGTGAGGAGGTTTACAAGAGTCAAAGTATACAACAGAAGCAGAGAGATTTTCTTTTGGCAAAATGAATCACTTTGATGTCCCCACAGGACAACAGTGGCATAATTCAGATATAACAACTTCGATGATACATAAATATTTTACATACCTACAAACATGATTCGAGGCACGTATTGTCCATCAGGTGACAGGTTTTTATCTGTGGTTTCATGCTGGTATAAAAATTAAGGCTAGTTGTTAAAATGTTTCAGTAAATTTTGCTGAAATAGTACTGCATGTGAATAACCTTGTAGCAGAAGACAAAACCAAATACTACTCATGTGTGAATACACATGCGCAGTTGCATTACTTAAATAACTAAAATATCAGATATATTATCTAAAATGACATGAAAAAACAAGGCAAAGAAAAAGAAAAAACAGACCATGAAACAATACCAGTCAAATCGCCCCAAACCCTTCATACCATGAGATTCAGCATAATGAAGTTATTTTGGGCCATTTCCTGTATTTCTTCATTTTCTGCGAAAGCTTTCTTCAGTGCTAGAAAAGACAGGATCACTTTGAAATCCATCTCAAACGCTGCATTTCCATCTGTGCTTGGTCACCACACTGGCCAGAGACTGGGCCACATTGTTCCTCTCTCTGCTGATTCACATTCCTGAGGAGACACTTAGGGCCTCTATCGCTGCTTTTGGGGGCATTTTGGCCTGTGGCAGTGCAACCTCTGGCTATGAAAATGGAAGCTCTCTTCTGTTATTTATGAAGCCTGTTGTCTCAATGGATACCATGTCTTGGCTTGACAAAAGTGCATTATTCTCAAAAAATTCTTGTTAGATCAATTTCAGCAGCCTTGTCCTTGCCCCCTTCTTTAGTTACCATTTCAGGAGAGCTAAACAATATTAAATCTGTTCAATGAGTCAGTAGCCAATCTGTGCCTCTTAATTTAAACTGAGTGCTGCATTTGGGATAGCAGCACAACAGCAGTGAGAATTTTTCATGTTCTTTATTGCATAGTTTCATAGTGGAGTTTTTGTAAATAATGGTAATAAATTTTTCACTTTTCATTTACCTGTTTTTCTGAATAATTTTCAATAAGTGCAATGCAAATATCGGTTCAGTTTTTTATAAAAGTATTCACAAAATTTTAACACACAAAAAATCAAAATTACCTTGGCAGTATTGACAGTCTTCCAAATGATGTATTACCATCAGTGGCTTGTTACTTTATTAATAATAATAAAAGATGTAGTTAGGTCATTTGACATGTATTTAAATGGACGATTTTACTAGCAGACTGAAAAAGGTAAATTGCATTTAATTATATGTTAACCCACAGTAAAACCATGTAGATATTCTGTAAAATATTACAGAAATTTCTGAGCAAGGGAAAAGAGTATAAGCACTTCATAAAAGAAAGAGATAGAGAAACAGAATTTTTATGACTAAATAGGCTGTCTATAGTAAGAGATTCTAGAAGAAAGAAAGAACAGATCCACCATAATTTCATTCCCAGGTTAAATAATCAGATTGAATAGGTATTTGATGTTGCTTAGGTGTGAATTTCTCCAGGGTTAAGAAAATAAAAATAATATATATGAATTAGAATAAAATAGATTTTATAAGATTGGCCTTATCATCAAATACTTTCCATGAAAAGTTTCTTGTGTTTTAAGGCTTTCTTGAACAGCTATTCAGCATATTACTTATCTTCTGTAAATAGCTTGATAAAGTGTTAAAATTTTATATTTTGGATGTCAAAGCATAAACAAATTATGTGCATTTCCTCCCATACTTTTTAAACTATATTTACTGTTCAGCAGGTCAGTTATTAATGCTGCGTCTACTTTCAATATCAGGAGTTGTTAATTTCTAACCATTTTCACACAGGGTACATTAAATTAATTATCCTTTGTTTTACAAATAATTTGTCTTCAATTTAGCAATAGCTCATGCTACACTATTGTCATCTACAAGAAGCTGTAAAAGATATTTAAATAAGTATTGTTATGAATTCTCAAATATATTTGCAGCTGGGTCTCAGAGAAGACAGCTTGGAACTTCCTTTTCTATCAAGATAGTGAGAAAATATATAATGAACATATTTCAGCTAATAAAATGTTGGGGGAAACATCAAAGGTAGTAGATTACCATACAGAAGAAGTCACAGATTTCAAGGAAGTAATCAGAATCACATGATATTAAAAGACAATAGATGGTAATTTAAAAATTATGGTATCCATTTATGAGCGATAATTTAAATAACAACTCTTTTGTGGCAAAGAAATGCCAGCATTACATTATTGGTCCACGATGTTTCTTCAGAGTCATAAGAGTCCTAGAAGTCCTTTTGTTTATAGACAGAGTCTGTTTATTTAACTGGGTGGTCTGCAGATCAGCTCTCATGGTGTTTCTTTGCTCTGTCTCATTATTGTGTATTCCAGCAAGACAGATTAACAACTTTGTCTTCATGCTACTTTTTAATCTCTTACCTTTTCTTTGCTTGATAAAGCCCTTCTTCATAAGTTTGTACCCATGTAATTTCATCTCCCCACCCTAGAAATGAAACAAAAGGACTAGCTGCTGACCAGGCAAGTAACTCATAACAAATTCATTTTTTTCTCTTTTTTCTTTTTTGTTTATGTGTATTAACTTGTGTATGCACATAAGATTTGGGGTTTTTAGTTGAAGATTCTCTAACATTGTGGATATGCTAATTTTACATCTCCTAATAGATACACTAAAAGTTTAAAAAACCTCAACCAAACAACCCAGCCTCCCAAAAATCTCAGCTGGTTGCATATCCAGCTCAAGTCCTTTGACAGACTTTTAGTTATCTTTCTAAATGCTCAGAGGTCCCTAAATCAGCACCCAAGTCCTTTCTATCTTCATATTTTCTGTTCAGTATTTCACGTAGACCCTGGGACTTAAAGAGAAGCTGGCATATCATAAGATAAAAAGAAAATATGACAGCTCAAATAAGATCAGCTTTAATATGAATGTCATTAGAACAGTCTTGGAATATACACTTAACTCCAAAGTAACTTCAATCCCTGAAGTTGCAAGCCCTTCATTTAATTAAAGAATTCAGTCAAGGAATGGCTGTTAAATAAAAATATCCGCTGAAACAAAATCCTAACAAACATCAGCTCCATAGCTCATCATAGCTGGGGATATGCAGATCTCAAAAATCAAATTGTCCAGTTGGTTTTATGCCTTCAGGTCCAAAGGATGCCAGCCCTTGCATAGTAGATCCCTGTATCCTAGGCAGTGTGGCTCTATTCATGACAATTCTCATGGGAATTGTAGAACAATTTCTGGACCAGGTTTTTCTTCTGTGCAGTACTTTGACCAGCCCAGGTTTGCTGTTGGATTTCTCACAGGACAATTGCTTGTGATGCTTCTAGATCATGTCTTCTTCCAGTACACAGCTCTGTCTGGCTGGTGGTGGGACTCTGGCATGCTGACCAGTGCCTTCCCAACCCTGGCTGCTTCAGCTCCTGATGCAGGTAACTGAACACAGGAGACAGCAATTTGGGGGCATTTTGCAGCATGTTTAAGCATTTCCCCTTGGTCTGTGAAAATTACAGGTAAAGTGCTCAAGGCATCCCAATAGGCCTGAAATCAGAATTAGAAAAGTTACATCTGTTTTCTGTGACTATTTTGTAGTTTGCTGGGGTTGGTTTTTTTTTTTTTTTTTTTCTCCTCCAAATCTGACATAATGTAAAAGATTTTTTTAATCTTTTTTGTTCATTTAGGCTTACTGGGAAAAAATAAATCCTGATCTAGGCAAACTAGGCAACACGTTCCATATTGATAATAACCTTTCCCCAAGGACACTGGTTGCAAAAAGTATTTTTGTGCAAAAATTTTTCTTAGGCTAGTCCAGGTGGTGAATGATTTTGTCAAATGATCTCTGAGCAATTAGGCTCAGATGGAACGTCTGAGAGATGTGCAACATTGCCAGGATAGGGAAAACTCAGATCCTGTGGGATCTGCAGGCATTACATGGCTTGCAGAAGAGATTAGGAAGAGAGATGAAGATTTTTTTGTTGTTGTTGGATAGGCCCAAAAGGAGTAGAAAGATGGGGAAGAGAAAAAGACCTTGCTAAGCTATTTTTCTGCTTGTATTTCTAAGGATTGATTAGATATAAATAAATTAAAACAGGGTCTTTATTTAACATTCAGGTTGAAAATTATGCACCCTAGGGAAATGAATTACACACAGTCATGCTTTGCAGTGGATATCTGATGAAAAGCAGGAAAAAAAAATCATGCAGGAAACCCCATCAATGGTTCAAACTGTTCTGTGTACAAAAATGAATCTGTAGAAAATTTGTTCCATAGCAACTGATGTTATGGTAGGTTGCAATAAGAACATATATTTTGAATGGTCTATGAAAGAATATTTTTTCACTGATAGTCCTACATGTACATCTTGATTTGAGAGACTCAGTTTAGGTTATTTGCTTCTGTTAGGTCACTGTGAATTATCTAAAATATGCAGGTTATATGAGACCCTCAGTCATATGCTTAATAAACTGTAGGAGTCAAGTGATGTGAAATTAGAATATATATTAATTAGAGCATCAGTTAACACTAAAGAAAACACACCTCAGTAAATATATATGTGCATTCTAGGTAAGTTTTATAAATGTGTGTGCATGTATATAGATACACATTCCATAAATGTACACTCAAAATAAACATATTTGCTGGCCTGTGTGGTGAGGTAAGGAGATAACTACATTCAGTGAACACACAATACCTCTTGACAGTGTCTGAGGTGCTCGTTTTTCCTTTTTAATTGCCATTGCAAGGTTGGAAGTGACTGCAATTAGCAGGAGGGACAAGGCCAGTGTGGAATGGAGCATTATTACCCTTCCAATGCAAGGAAACTGGAAAACAAAGAAACAGCTTTAGTCACATGGATTTATCACCTGGTGCGCTGTAGATCAATATGTTAATGGCATCCTAACAATCTGTACTTCAGAGACACTTCTGTTTTTTTCTAGAAATGCTTGTCTTTGTGAGGAAAATGCAAACTGGAGGTGCTTAATTTTACAGTGCAATGCTACTTTCAGCAGTCCAAATGAGGCTGCAGGGTACTGTTCTCATGTGATTCTCATGAACTAGTACAATGTTGTAATACTGGATCATAACAATTTCAAGACCCTGCTCAAGGTTTTTTCATTTCAGTGAAATGTAACAGCATGGGATTTTTATTTATTTTTACATTGGACCCTTTTTATCAAAAGATGTCTCATAATATCCTTCTCAATTAAGTAGGAGGATTGGCAAGAATTTGCCCCAAGTATAATAATCTTTAAATTGTCCAATCCATCGAAAATGTTGAAATTGTGGTAGTTTTTAAAGTCTCCACTTAAAAAATTTCCCGTTCTTCATTGCATCTTTTACAGTGAATTTCAACTCCTTCTGAATAAAACAATTCATCAGTGTTTCTGGCTGGTTCAGTATTCTCTTCCTGGCCCAGATCAACATTAGAAATTCAGTAACTTCTTACCTTGATAAAAGTCAGAGAACAGAAGCAAGAGTTGAGAAAAAGCATTACAAAGCCAAATTGTTTTTAATTGATAAGTTTACTTTCTTCCAGTACAATCACTTCTAGGCATTAAAGATCTGATACTTCAGGTGGATATCAAATGGTTTCAACTGAGTTAAAAAATGTAATGCATGTAGGTCAGGATACCTGTCTCAGTCATTTACTGGAGATCCCACTTTTCAGAGGTTGCGCTTTAGGAGCTACCAGGATGCTCCACTGAGAAATTACTTTGACTTGAATAAAAAACCCCAAACCAAATGAATAATAATAACAATGACCATCCTTCCCTGCTTTGCCAAAAAAACAAAAACAAAAACAAAAAAAAAAACAAACCCAAAACCCCAAGACATTTGTGCCTGTACTGATAAAGAAAATCTCTAACTTGCATTTAAAATTGATGTTAGTATGGAACTGCAACCCTGAGCACTGGCAAAAGAAAATGCTTCATGCATTTAAGGACAAAGAGGCATGAAAAGTACTGTTTTAATGAATCTTCACATCACAGAATCACTGTTAGCAGTTAAATATCTTGTGAACAAATTAAAACTCCATTTCTAATAACTGGCAATCTCAATTAGAGAAATTCATTCTATTCAGGTGGCTGGAGAAGAAGTTGTACATTAAAATATGTAAAAGTTATTAAAAATAAATTGTAATTTTGTAGTAAGAAGTAGTCTTTCACAATGTGTTAATAAAAAAATGAAAGTGCTAATCTCTTTAAATCACAGGTAAAATCATCTGAAGCTTAATAATGGATTATCCTATTGAAAATTAAGAGGACTTTGGAACTGCAAGTGGAGGCAGCTTAAATTTAATATTCCATATTTTTGATGCTGCATATTCCAATATTATTTAATTGATTCAGATAAAAAAAGGACGGCCAACACTACATAGATTGCCTTCAATTGCCTGCCAGAACAAACATTTGCTAGCTAATCTCTAGGCATCTATCACTTGTCTTTTTGTATAACTAGGCTTGTAAGGCATTTGTGAACAAAACCTCATTGCTTTACTAAAGGAGAGTTAAGAATGAGAAATACTTGCTCACCAGCGGCGACCAGTTCTCCTGATTGAAGGTCCTTTTCCTGGAATTTGCTAGTTAAAAACCCAGTGATTGAAGCACAGAACACCTGAGCTGCCCAGGTCTCTGTGTAGCAGCAGCACCACATTCACCTGGGAAAAAATGAGAGGAACCTTTGAGCTGAAAACCAAAATGATGTTTTTCTACCCTCCCCCTTGCTTTTCTGCCTTGCCTCCAACTTTCTCTCTTGCAAGTTCCCATGCTTATGCACTGAATCCTTGCATTTCTCTTCATCTTAGCTTGTATCAGGTGTCTTGCATGAGGACTGGAAATAAATAGTGGCTTGTGTGTGTCTGCTAACACCCCCTCGAACAGTTTGAGTCTGGCTTATGTCCAGTGAAAAAAGAAACCACCAATGAAAGCTGGAACTGGAGGTGCTTTTGTTCCCAAAGAATGGCAGAGTTCACTGGTGCTTGAAGATAGGAATGAACCTAATAGGAAGACACAAGGGTTACTTTGTGTAGAGAAGTGTAATTAACAAATAAAACAAACTCTCTTTTTTTTTGACAGGGAAATAAAATTATTTATTTAAAAACTATGGTTTAAACTACCTGAGTATTGCTCCTGGGAGTTGTAGTTTTAAAATATCTGGTTTTTTGGATATGATACTTGATATAATTTTACTGAACTTGATGAATACAAGCAAAGTCCTTTATTCATCACCTTTGCATAAAGAAGGAATGAACTGGATCACCTTTTATCTCCTCCTTGAATAGCTTTTGCAGGGGAATCGGAAGAAATCCTCTTTTGCTTCTTCTTCTGTGTATTTTTTTATATGGACTGTATGGTTACCATTCTCAGAAATATTAAATTTTTCAAAAATTATGGAAATAATTTTGAGATATTGTGTTCTTAAATTCTGAGGTATTGTGTTTTTCATGGAACAGGTTTATTATTGTAAGGTGTAAAGGGATAGACTATATTCAATGAAATAGACTGAAATTAGTGCTGAGCTACCTGAGAGTTCCCTTTAGCAGGATCATGTTCAGCAATTTGTCTCTATATTTGAAGGTCAGAATTTTTGAAGGTTGATTTTGCTAGAGATATTGCCAGCCCTGGTCAAAAAGATGCTGTTAAGGTTTAATGCTGAAAGAAAATTATTGTTATAATTTATAAAACCAAGCTGGATACCTTCAGTGTTGCTATTCAGTCCCTGCTTGCTAAGTGGATCTGATCAGCTGCCCGTCCTTGACTTCTTCTGTTCAGCATCCACACATGAATGGAGTGTGAAGCCAGAGCTCCATCCCAGCACAATCTGTGTTGCCTGGCAGTCAAACCAGTGACCTGTGCAGCAGCAGTTACCAGCCAAATGTTCAATTCAATCTCTGCAATGTAGAGCACAAGCTTCTGCAGAGTCCTCATGGAACCAGTGTGCTCCCACTCATTGAACTCAGCCAGCTTAGTCTCCAGGGTAATGGTGGTGGAAAGTCTTTCCATTTTTCTCCTCCAGTCTAAAGATCAGTTTTGGAGATACAGCTATGGGTTAACTGTGTATACACAGTTATATCTAAGTCAAAATTAGGAAATGTAATAACTATCTAAAAGCAGGGCACAATAAGGCAGCAATAAGGCATGTGTCAAAGACAGACTTTTAGAGAGAGAAAGATGTTGCAGGATAACTGGCATTTGGAATCTCAAGCTGCTGCTTTTGTCTGAGTCATGCAGCAGCGGATCTAGGTAAGTATTCATATATGTAGCCTATTTATGAAAAGTGAGACTGACTTTTAAATTTTACTTTACAGAATGCTGCACAGATGAGGTTGCTGATGAAGTTCTTATTCTGCCCAACTCTGCCTTAGCTCCTGTGTGAGCAAAGGATGAGATCACAGCTCCTGTGACAGCTGCAATTCAGCACCATTCCTGCAACCTCTATGGGCAATTCTGCCAAAGAATTTTACATGTGATCAATGTGCCTCTGCAAATCAATACAAAATTAATTAGGAGATCAAAAAGAGAGGTCATAATGTGGCCTGGAGGGTGGAGATGCACCACCACAAATGCCCAAACAAATTTACAGTAAACAATATGGGAAAAACTTGCAGAACATATATTTTCATGGGTGGGAGGTACTTCTGGCTCCTAACACTGGCATTTGGTGTGGACTGAGTCTGGATCTCAGTGTGCGTTCAAGTAGCACATGGTACCAGAGCAGAGAACTACTCTTGGGGCTTAGAATGCTGAGCATTAGTTTTCACTGCCAAACAGTAAAAGGAATTAGTGCAAATCTTCACTGGGCTTATGCCCTGACGGACAGCCGAAAATCAATTTCTGGATAATTTCAATAAAGAAATTTAAAGAAATCTAGATATGGCATGGTGTTTTTTTTCTGTGTCTGTCTTTCAAAATAGTTATAATTGTGGAAATAATTCTTCTGGTACTAGAAGCTGATTCACAGCAGATGTACTTTCCTCCCCACCCCCTTCCCTAAAAGCAGGGTTCTATGTATTGCTCAAGTGAACAAACTACTCCAGTGTTTTCTGCATGCCAGTTGTTTGCTTTTGCTTCCCCATTGCACCTTTTTAGCTTTGTATTCCTGTAAAGACATTGTTATGGAACATAAGCATAATAATATAACCAGGAAAGCATTTACTGAATTACTTTTTTCAGTGGTTTGTACTGACTGCAAACAGTGTTCCCTGCTTTCCAGGCCAGTGTCCATGTTTTCACTTCTAAGCCTTCAACTTCTTCCAGTACTGTCACCTCCAACCCCTCCAAGGTTTTCTCTGCATTTTTTGGAAGCTGGCCCCTCCACCCTTAAATGGCCCTGTGGTACAGCCCCTGGAAAACTTGATTCCAGGCTTCATTGACACCTCGCTCTCAGCGGCTCTGCAGCTCTGTGCCTCTGTGAGTCACTATTGTCTATTGGCTCCCACTTCTCAACAAGATTATTTTCCTGCCCTCTGGGCTTCTCGGATTTCCCAGAACTTTTTATAGATACAAAGCTTTGAAGACTATAAGTGGAAAAAAGTAATTTATTATTTTTCATGGATTTTGCTGAGATTTACGGAATAAATGTGTTTTGGTAAATAAAAGGAAACCAGCTCTAGATGTTGTTGGCTCCTTCCTTCAGTCCAAAAGTATGAGCTGTTCTGGACTGTTTATTTAATGTTGTGAGAGCCTGGCAGGCAGGACTTCTTTCTATTCTACCAGCAGATCTTTCTGTTACAGTATGGTTCCAGCCATGCCAGGCAAAGTCTGGGAAGCCACTGCGACCTCCCAAGCTGCTGGTG